TGAAATATCGCGATATTTCAGTGTATCGATATTTTCTTACACCCCTAGTGTCAGTAATAAAACAGCTGCTGTGATTTTACAGATATGAAGGATCGAACATATTTTTTCCCTCCTGTCTGAATAAAGTTTTCATTAAACAGTATATAACCTATTTCAAACCATAATGAATCAGGTTAAAAACTCTTGAAACCATAAATCCACCTGTGGACATCACCTGTACAAAGATTCATGCTGATAAAATGAACCGGAGCAAAGTTACAGAGGTTTTAGTAAAGAAATAATTTAGTGTTTCTGCACAGGACAGACATGATGGTTCTGTTAATAAATGTTATTAAATCTGAAGTTTATTAAACAGGAAGTGGTCTCAGATTAACACAAGTTAAAATAATAAAACCTGTTTTTCTCAGGAGGATCTGAACAAACAGCTGAATGTTTGTGTTTTCAGGCTGCAGATGAAAGTTCAGCTGATGTTTGCACCGTTTGGCATCTGGGCGTGGACCAGCTGCCGGCCTGGATCCTGACCTCAGTTCAGCAGGTAAACGTGTCACCTGAACACCTGAGCACCTGTTTCTGACATGAAGTCCTGCTGAAGTCAAACTGTCTGGTTTCTGGTTCCGGTCCAGTCCCAGTGGACCTCTGGTAAACTGAGCTGCTGCAGCTGCGGCGCTCGACTGGGAGGCTTCAACTTCCTGAATGGCTGCAAGTGTCCCTGCGGCCAGGACGCCCCGGTCCACCTCAACAAGAGCCGCCTGGATCGGGACCAGCGCCACCGTGTCCCCATCGTCCGGCCGAGGAGGACCAGGTCTGAGACTGCGCCTGGTCAGAGTGAGCCCAGCGGGTTTAGCTGTCCGGCGGGGTCCTCAGATGGACCCCCTGATGGTTGGGACCTTCAGAGACGCTGCAGTCTGGATCCTGATGGAAGCTCTGCAGACCCCAGAGACCGTCTGAGGTCCAGGTCCGGTTCAAAGAGACAGACGTTTGACTCAGAAGCTCCGACTGATCCTGGAGTTCCTGGAGTTCACACTTTGTCCCAGGACCAGGACCAGGACCAGGACCAGGAGGACATGGAGTCAGCATCAGACCCTGAGGAGGTTTTAGGTTCTTCTGTCAGACGGAGGTTCAGCTGTGATGGAGACACTCTGCTGCAGCAGGAACAGGTTAGATTAGTTTTTCTGATGGATCAGGAGACAGGAACAGACCTGGGTCAGACCCAGATCCTTCCTGAGAACAGACCCGGGTCAGACCCAGATCCTTCCTGAGAACAGACCCGGGTCAGACCCAGATCCTTCCTGAGAACAGACCCGGGTCAGACCCAGATCCTTCCTGAGAACAGACCTGGGTCAGACCCAGAACTTCCTGGAGATGAAACATTTATGGACATTTTTTATCTTCAGATAAACAGATTCTTGTAAAAACAGCAGATTTATGGTTGAAACCAAAGCAGTTCTGCAGGATTTTGAAGTATTTGAAACTAAAGTTTGTCCACAGGAAGTGAACATGTCTCCACAGGAAGTGGACGTCTCCACTTCCTGAGGAGATGTGTCCACTTCCTGAGGAGACGTGTCCACTTCCTGTGGAGACGTGTCCACTTCCTGTGGAGATGTGTTCACTTCCTGTGGAGACGTGTTCACTTCCTGAGGGGATGTGTCCACCTCCTGTGGAGACATGTCCACTTCCTGTGGAGACACACATCTCCTCAGGAAGTGGACACATCTCCAAGTGGACACGTCTCCTCAGGAAGTGGACACGTCTCCACAAGAAGTGGACACGTCTCCACAGGAAGTGGACACGTCTCCACAAGAAGTGGACACGTCTCCACAAGAAGTGGACACGTCTCCACAGGAAGTGGTTACGTCTCCACAGGAAGTGGTTACGTCTCCACAGGAAGTGGACACGTCTCCTCAGGAAGTGGACACGTCTCCTCAGGAAGTGGTTACGTCTCCACAGGAAGTGGACACGTCTCCACAAGAAGTGGACACGTCTCCACAAGAAGTGGACACGTCTCCACAGGAAGTGGACACGTCTCCTCAGGAAGTGGACACGTCTCCTCAGGAAGTGGACACGTCTCCTCAGGAAGTGGTTACGTCTCCACAGGAAGTGGACACGTCTCCACAAGAAGTGGACACGTCTCCTCAGGAAGTGGTTACGTCTCCACAGGAAGTGGTTACGTCTCCACAGGAAGTGGACACGTCTCCTCAGGAAGTGGACACGTCTCCTCAGGAAGTGGGCACGTCTCCACAGGAAGTGGATACGTCTCACTTCCTGTTAGATTTCTTAAATCAGAACATTAATTTGTTCGTTAATCGTCGCTCTAACGCTGATGCCTGACTTGTTTTGATGATCCTCAGGACTCCTCGCAGCCTGTGAGCTCCTCAGCTGCCGTCAGGCTGAAGAAGAGGGAGAAGAACCGTCTGAAGAGTCAGAAGAGGAAGGAGAGGAGGAGACAAAGATGGTTGCAGGTTCTGGAGGACCAGGTAAGAAAACATTCAGTTAAAACCTGTAACTGATGCTTCCTGTATTTAAAACAAATAAATTAACCTCCAGATTAAAACACATCGTTTATTAACTGGAGACAAAGTGCAGAGTGCAGCCCGAACCATCAGCCTCCACCTCCGTGCTCACTGTGTTTGAGCTGTTTGCTGCAGTGCATTCTGGGTAAATATCTGTCCTTTGACCTGGTTTTGGTCCAGAAGTCTTGTTTTTTTAGGGAGGTCATGACCTTTGACCTTTCAGGTGTATGGAGTCATCCTACAGAGTTGTGACGAGGCCTGTGTTTCAGTCAGGAGTTGTTTGAATTCCTTATAAGGACGAGAAAATGTGCTCATCCTTACCTCACTTGTTTAAAACAGCTTTGTGTTGTAAACATGTTTGTGTGTCTCAGGACCAACTCCTCTACCATAGAAGGAATACTTGTAGGTTGATTCTACTTTGTTCACATCCAGGTGTGGCAGAAGGTTATAAGAACCCAGAAAGTTCTGGGGAGATCTTCACTGAATTGGCCCGAAGTCTCTTGATTTGGTTTATTCAGAATAAACCA